AAACCCCAGCCCCGAGCGGGTCCTGGCGTGAGCCCGCCCCGGGCGGCGTGGGCTCCGGGCGCCGAGCGAAGCGCAGCTGCCCGGGTCCTGGGGAGGTGGAGGAGCATCCCTGCAGCACCAGTGAATTTTGGCACCCCCCGGTGCCCTGTGTCTCCTGAAAATTGCCTTTCGCTGGTGGCAGAGCCGCTCTCGTAAGTTGTGAATTTTCCGCAGGGAAAAAGGAGCGAGTCCCGGTGCCGCTCACCTTGGGAGCTGGGATGGGACGGAGCCCTCGCTGCAGCAAAGTGCTCCTTCGCAGGGCGGGAGGCACCGGGTGCTGGAGAGCCCGGCACGGATGGGGCTGCACGCAGCAGCCAGGCAGGAAAATGGGGAACGTGCACATGTCTGTTTGCGTGGCCAGTGCAGAGCGATGCAGTTTTACGTGGGCATCTTCTTGGGCATCTCTAACTGTCTGTTAGTTTACACTGCGTTTTGTGCTGAGCTGCCTCAAGCTCCTTCTGTCTGTGCAGAGCTTAGCGTTCATAGCGTGTGTAGCGTTAGCACGGTGAGCTGACGGTAGATCTGAGAGTCCCGCTGCTCTGCCACGTAGTTCATGTGCTGTTTGTGTGTGGAGGTGGGCGGCCGTGGGCCAGCGGGGCCAGCTGAGCCAGCCCTCTGTGGCCACCGAGTCTGAAGCGGCCGAATGTCACGGGACCCGCTGCAGGGGCACTGGGACTCGCTGTGCCGTGTGCTGGAGCGCTGGATCGCCCGGAGCTGCTGTCGTCTCCTGCCTGCGGGCTGGCCCCACAGGTCACCCCTCCTGGGAATTTGGAGGGTGTGATGTGTGACATTTTGTTCCTGGTCTGACGAGCATCATGATATCCAGCTCATGGGCTCTGGAAGCTGGAACGTCCCTGCTGGAGGCACTGCTTGGAGTAGGGTGAACAAGACCCATGGGTGGTAGGTCTGGGGAGGGTGACAGCGCAGTGTGTTTGGCTGTTCCTCCAGACCGCTTCCCACCTATAATCCTGTGCCGGGTGTGGTGGTAAGGAATACTACTTGTTGCCTTGGCAACGGCTATTAAACCAGAAAAAGGGTATGACATTTATTTAGCATTGTGGATGAAGCTGACATCTCATTATTAGCGTCTGTCTGCGACTCCTCCTGGGTGGAGAGAGACAAAACAGCAGCAGCCTGCGCGTCGACTGCCGCTGCAGAATGGGAGGTGAGGGTTGTCCATCGGCGTGCTGGTTAAACCGCTCGGCCAGCGGACGGGAGCTTCCTTCCGGAGACTGCTGTGGCCTCTGCAAGGCTGTCATTGCTCATGAGCATCTTCGGTGCCGGCGTTCAGTACCGGCCTTCTCTCCCTGTGCTCCTCCTCAGCTTGTGCCTAGGGGAGGGGAAGCTGAGGGTTGTGCCGTGCCCTTCTGCTGGCTTTTGGTAAAATGAACGTATCCTCCGAGGGCTTGGCGAATGCTGGTAAAGACTGGAGAGAGGTGATGTATGGGGAAAGCCCTTCTGCCCTGGTGAAATGCCACCAGCCAGTGTGTCGTGGTGCCGTGGCGTGGGTGTTTGACACAGTCTGGTATCTCTCCAGCAGCCCTTTAGCAAGGGCAGTGCTGACGCAGAGCAGATGTATTTTTTTTTCTGGTGGCCTCATCGCCCTGGGCTCTGCCTTGGGACTTCGGTGCGGATGTGGGTTCTTCGCCCGCTTTCCTTCAGGTTTCTCCCAGCTCAGCGCCTGCTGGAAGCGGTGAGACCTGGCGGGGGCCTTGCTCTGGTTTGTGCACAGCCATGCAGGTGGGTGAGTTCCATGTCAGAGCCGTGCTCTGCGATTCTCCACCTGGGCTTTGGTCTGCTAGGATTTAGAAAAACCTGGGGAAGCGTCATCCCATAGGCGATTAGTTAATTATTTAGCAACATCCCTGAAATTGGGAGCTGGTGGGGCATTCTTTTGCTGGTTGCTCCCTGCCTGTTAGGCTCATTTTGCTCGTGCTTTTGTTTTCTCTTCCTCTCCTAGACCGACTTCAGGATAAGTCAGGAGCTTGTGTAGACCCCAAGGAGCAGCAGAAAGGGCCAACTGCAGAAATCTAAATCTCCTTTTATTTTTTTTTTTCCCTCACTCCTAGAATTTTTACCTTTCACAAAACTGCATATTCTCATTTTACTAGACCACGTCTGATTTTGCTTCAGCCATGGCTCTGTGTGATCTGCTGAGGTCCTCAAGTGCAGGTGAGCTCCACAGAGACTGGGGGCAGCCATGGCTCGCACTTGGGAAGCCACGCAACATCTCTCGCCCTAGTGAGATAACGGAGGGAATAAGGTAATCTGAAGAGGAGGTCTGATTAGAGGAGGTAAACAGTAAATCGAAATTACCAAAAGCACCCCAGTGAGCAAATGGCCTTTGATATTTGTTTGTTGCCATTGTTAAGGCGTTTTTACTTTTAAGAAGGTTTGCAGGTTGAAGCGAGTTGTGCTACCACCATCCTTCCCTCCCCAGTATGGTTATAATAAATCAAAGTAATCCTGAAAGCTGCAACATTGACTGCTTGTCAGCAGGCTGCGAGGGAAGGAGTACGACTTGCTGAGGAATCCTGTTTCCTGTTCTGCAGGATGAGAAGCAGAACCAAATTCCTCTATGATTTCTTTTTTGTCAAAGCTTTTATCAGATGGAATGAGGCTTCTTTAAAACCCCAGAGCCCGAAATATCCAGGTTTAAAAGGGGGTTGGATTCTCAACTAAAAATATTCTTTGTGCAACCCGTGCTCCCCCCCCCTTCTTTTGCAAGTTTCATTTTTAATAGCGGAGGACCCCGTGGTGCGTTTTTGACTACCTCCAGGTAATTGCATGGCATAGAGAGGAGGTGGGGAAGCAGGTATTGCTTGGGAAATACCGGCTGTGCTACCCTGTGCCTGGAAAACGAGCTTTGTGAAAAGCTGAATGGAATATGGAAGTAAACCGTTGCCTTGCTTATCCTTCTGCAACGACCTCGTTTACCTTTCACTTGCCATTCAGCAAGCAGCTTTGAGTCTTTTGCTCATCAATAACTGCCCTGCCTGCACTGAGCGTCTTGCTGCCCGTTCTCAGAATTTTTTTAAAACTGTTATTGATTGACCGCGGCCTGCTCGCTTGCTGGTGTCCCGCGGTCTTCTATCAGATATATTATTTATTTTCTAATAGCTCGAGTGGTTGTCACTGTGCAACTGTTGGCTAATTCCATCATCACACGTCCTCGGGACAGCAGTCAGTCCCTCTTCCCTGCACCCTTTAACCAAGTCCCCCTGCCACGCAGCTGTGTTGGCTAAGTACCGCCGAGTGACTGGGAAGAGCAATATTTTTGCAGCTTGGGTTTGTTTTTCTGGATTTGTTTTTCTGGAGTGGGTCTGTATGCCTGTGGTTCCAAAATACCCGACTGCGTGTGTCAATGCCAGCTATTTCATTCTGGATCGGTAGAAAATTGGAAATTAATTTAATGTTATTGGGATTTGAAAAATTAATGTTGATAGCTTTAAAGGTTCTCAAGGCCAATTTAAAAAAAAAAAAAAAAAAAAAAGGCCTTTGTGTAGCTGTCAAAACTGTTCAGGCAAAATGAAGATGAGGATGATAAGCTGCAGGTTTGTAATGAAAGCTGCTGTTTGCAGAGGGACCTTCTGATGGCTCTCAAGCACCCAGGCCGGCCTTTTTCAAATGTTCCTGTATCAAAAGTAAACAGACGGCTTTAATGCAGCATTTCTCGATTGCCTGCATCGATCTCTTCTGAAAAGAGTATTACTAATCGCTGGGGACCATTTTCTCTCCTTTTGAAGATAAAAGCAGCGGTGCGCAGAAGTGCTCTCATACTCCAGAAACCCCTGCCTAGATCTTTCATACCCAGCACAGGTTTCGTGCTGCTTCCCCTCCTCCTTTCATCTTCCTTCTCGGCGTTCAGGGAGACGGGATCTGTATGCCAGAGGAGCCTCCTTCCTCCCCACCCAGCCTCTCCTCTCCGCTGCCAAAATGTCATCCTCCTCTCCTTGTGGCGTCCTGGCCGTTGCCATGGAAATACCTCTTTTTGCACAGATTTAGGACTTCAAAGCAATAGGGGGCTGGAAGTTGCACCTGGGTTCAGAGCAGTGTCCATCATTGCTGTGTTTGCTAACCGAATCCAAAACGCTTGTCAGCGTAACATTCAGCACCGCGGAAAACAGGAGCTTTGCGGCGTGATGGGTGCAGAACCAAACAGGGTCGTAAAGCTTCGAGATCAGGCGTTGAGAACGGAGAAATGACTAAAGTTTCTCCTGAAATGTTGCAGCATCTTTATTGAGCATCTTACAGCTAGCAGTACCAGCCGTGCCAACAGATGGCTTGGGAATTTGCGTTTGACAGGCACAACAGGAATAGAACCAGCTATAACATGATCTTAAATTAGCGTTGCATGGATGGATTTTTGGCCAAACGTTGCTGCCCTATGGAGAATGTCTGGTGCAAAATGGGCTGGAAGGGGCTGCCCAGGGAAGGGGTTGAGTCCCCATCCCTGGGGGGATTTAACAGCCGGGCAGACGCGGTGCTGAGGGCCAGGGTTTGGGGGCGGGATGGCAGGGGTAGGGGAATGGTTGGGCTTGGTGATCTTAAAGGGCTTTTCCAACCCAAACAATTCTGTGATTCTATGAAAACACTGTCACCAAATACACACTGCTGGGATCGTTCCTGTTTCCCCCGGGGTACAATGTTGCCGTATGGACCCTTCCATTTAATGCCTTTTTGGTTTCTTTTCCAGCAAACTGTCCAAATACTCAGAGTTTATACGCATTAACACATTTTTCCTCCTTTCCCCGCCCCCCTTCCCCAAGGAGCCTTAGCCCGGTTCCCAGCTGTGAGGACACGTGGTTCCTGGGGAAGGTCTGCTGGCTGGCCTGAACATCCCACGTGTGTCGCATGGGCGATACCCCCGCTGCAGAAGGTGCTATGTTTTATTTAGTAAGCAGCGATAAATAATTAAATAAGACTTTTAGAAGAGCCAAAGGTCTCAGTTGGTAGGGTTGCGATCAATGTTCCTGTGGCGTTAGAGCTGTCCCCGTGCTGTCCTCCCACGGTGCAAGGGGGCCATGTTCTCCGTGGGTCCATCGAAATGGCTGGCGAGAGTCCCTGAGGTCTCTGGGTATAAATAGTGCACGTCCTCTGAAGCTGGCAGGATTATAACTGGTTGGAACATAATTAACTTGAATTATTTAGCTAGTAAACTCTTAGGTAAAGTGGCAGAGCTTGGCTGCAACTTGCGCCGGTGCTGGAAAAGTCTGTCTGGCACTTGCTTTTGGAATAATCAGGGTGTTTGTTGCTGGAGAGATAAGGAACTGTATCTTGCAACACGGAGTTTGATGATGTGAGTTTTATAAACAAGTCTGCTAAAAAGATGTTGTAGCTTTGTCGGCTAAAGCAACGAGACAGGCAATAGGCAGACATTTCATTTTCAAATAAGATAAATCTGGTTTGTGGGAGGGATTGGACAGAGAAATTCTGCTTCAGCTGAAAACGGGCTGCCCAGGGAGGTGGTCGAGTCCCCATCCCTGGGGGGATTTAACAGCCGGGCAGAGGCGGTGCTGAGGGGCAGGGTTTGGGGGTGGGATGGCAGGGGTAGGGGAACGGTTGGGCTTGGTGAGCTTAAAGGGCTTTTCCAACCTCAAAGATTTTATTTTAAAAAAAAAAAAAAAAAAGTGGCTTTTAGCTGCCGCACCAGCGCTGCAATTTGATGTACTGGGGTTTTCTGCCCACCATCCCCAGCGCGCTGTGCCCCACAGGGACTTCTGCGGGCACTGGAGTGGATGGTCCAGAAGTAGAGGGCTTGGGGCTTGGGGCAATGGCTTTGGGTCCTAGAGCTGAACAGAGATTCTGTGCTTGCTTTTGCCTTGGGACACTGGACCACCTTTGGTACAAGCCAGAGACAAAAACCAGCCTTGCGTTTCTGCTGGGAAATGGTAGCTGGGTGACCGGGCGGCAGAGCCCGGCCGCGCCTGCTGTGGCTGCGGGTGCAAGCGCGTTGTGTTTGTCCTTGCAAATACAGCCGTGCCTGGGGTTGCCTTAATATTGCATCTGCTTCGCCAAGTGATCCTTCAGCATTTTATAATACCCAGAAGTGCTAATGCTCCAGTGCTGCGCGGACACACAGCGCATGGGAAACCGTTTCCTGTGGAGCTTAACCAGAGCTTGTTCCTGGAAGGAGACCTTGATTTGGAGAAGCAATTAAAGAGATGCTCAGATTGCATCAAGGAGTGCCCACATGGACTTGCTGCACCAAAACTAACATGTAAAATGGGATTTTTAAGTGCTGGAATTAACTTCCAAATACATCATCAAAGCAGCACTTAAAGACTGCAGTGAGATTGAGAAAACACCAGCTCGTAAAAGAATTTGAAAAGCGAACGTATGAAAGCAAACCAAGCTTAAAGCCTATAGCATATAGTGTGGGGTGGTTTTTTGTTTAGTTTTGGGGTTTTTTAACATACAGAAGAGCAGATTAAACAAGTGCATGGAAAGGAAATGCCCTGAGGTTTAGTGAGGAGGCTTGAACGACAAGCAGCAGTTGTAGATCCTGAACACGGTGCTCCTCTGTGCCGGATGCTGATTGGGATATTTCTGATTCCCTGCCTATTTGCTCGGGATAGGAGTTATCTTCCTGCAGTCTGTTAAAATAGATGGGAAGGAGGAGGGAACCTGCAAGGCTCCTCCTGTATCTGCCGGGGTTTTTCAGAGCTCTTGCAGTGCTGCTGGCGAGCAGAG